CTAAATGATAGGTTTTGAATGACCCTTTTTGTGTGACAAAAATCAATTGTATTGTTCCTGAGATGAAGTATTTTTGAAGAAAGAAATATCTTGAAAATAGGTTTATGATCTTTCTTTACAGAAGTATCTCTTACGTTGTCCAATATGGAGATGACTTACAAGATCACTGCCTGGGCTCCGCATTTGTACCAAACCCCTTCAATCAAAGAAGCACTGAATTCAACGAGTTGCACTGTTCCTACATCACTGTAGTTAAAAAGTATTGCTCACTCCAGGGGGCCAAGCAAAGGCTATTGACATGCTTGCTTGATGTAAGAAAAGACAAATTAGTCCCCCATCCTATCTACCAGCAGGGTACAATGACCTGACATGGAAAAGTCATCTCAAACCACTGTGTAATGTATTTACATTTTTTTTCCAGGAAACTTCAGAGTTACCAGATCAACAGTGTCTAGTGTGCAAATTACATGCAAGCTAACAGAATGTAAAATAAATTTGAGGAAGGCTATGTGGTTTAGCTTGACTGTAGGCTATGCCAGATGGCACTAGTACTGTGGCTTGTTCTGGAGGAATCTATGGTCACACTGAGTGGAGCAAGCCAGGGAGAAAAGGAGTTTAAATGAAATGCTGTTTCTGGATGCAACTGTTTACTACTCATTGCCTACCTCAGCTATTTTATAATAAATACACTAAACAACTTAAGCGAGTAAATTCTCTTTGAGACTCATTCTCCTGGAGTAAAGTTGGATCGAGTAGGTGAGGTTGGAAACCATCATACTCCCTTCTCCTTCTACTAGAGAAACATTTAGACATCTCGTGGGTCTGCTTTCTTGAGTTTAATACAGAACATGGCATTTCTTAAAAAATCACTATATAGAGTGACTGAGTTTACTATAAAATGAAATCTTGCATTTGCCTTGGAATGTAATTTGTACTAATCAGAAGAAACATACAATTAGGAGGAAAAGTTCTACCTTTCCATTATGTGGATCATAATTAAGGATTGAAAATAAGACTAATAATATAAAATATAATTTCTCTAAATTTCTACTGTTGGTGATTTGAAGGGATATTTACTACATGATAATTCTGTGAGACTATGTTACAATTCAGATAATGAGGACACAGGGATATGAAAGTTGAAAACTAACCAGCTAAACACAGATTTGCCATAGATTGAAAACGAAAGCAGTTATGAAATATGGTCACTATTCTCTTAAAGAGTCTCTTATAACCTACCCTTTCCTAGCATACTGGAAATGAGTATATTGTGATGCTATACTATAATTCATTTTACAGAGTAAATAATGTTGTAAAATTATGCCATTAATGACATAAAAGAACCAACTTAAACTTGTCTAAATCAACCAAAGATAAAGCAAACGATTTTCAGCCTAAATACCCATCCTTTATTCATTCAACAAACATTTGAACATTTGAATTCTAATATAAGAAAGACACTTGTCCTAATTCTCGGTGGGTGAAAGTTTTGAAAAAGTTAGTAACCGGGGATTTGAAGGTACCTCATTAGCATTGGATAGGAGCTCTATGTTTATTTTTCCTACTTGAAGCTAACATGAAGTAATGTCTGTTCATCAAGCAAAAAAAAAAAAAAATTCCCCGTCTTGGTTTCTGTGGTCTATTTTGAGGCACTGAATATAGTGGCAGGAAACATGAGTTTGAGCCTGTCTTACTTAGTGAATCTTCATGAGACAGAAAAAAAAAAATCAGATGAGGGTTTAGTGGGAAAAGTGGCGGACTGAGAGTTAGACAGTTGGGCTCACAGCCCTGCTTCGACCACTAAACTACCGGATAAACTTGAAAAAGCATTTTAACTTCTCGGAAGAGTAGAGCTTTTACCTGTTAAACAAGGGGACATTAATGAATGATTTTTAAGGTCTCTTCTAGCTCTAAAATTTAATTAAGTGAAATGAAAGCAGTATGAGAACTGTTGAAAGTGTTAGATAAATGTAAGATATGATGATAATGATGACAATGGTGTTGACTTGAGGCGCATATATAAGTAGACCTTTGTCTACACCCACATCGGTTTTGGCTTAGTACACCTCCTTGCATGTCCTCTTTTGGCCAAAGTGTCTAATGGCAAAGCATCCCCCAGGGGTTTGGCAGGGTACTTGCCCTCAGCCGCCTCTTTTCATGGTTTCAATATTCTCTCCTGGATTAAAGTAAGACCAAAGCATAGAGAGGCTCAGAGGTCCTCTGTTTAGCCTCTGTGACTGCAAACGCTGCTACCTGAGAGGTGGTAGGTCAAGTGGACTTTGAACCAAATTCTGTGTCCACCATTGACCTTTTTCAGTATTCAGCTTCTTCTGTAAAACGGGCATGATCATACCAATTCAGAAGATTCATATAAGGATTAATCAAAGCAAAGTACAGAAATTATTGTTGTAGTTAAGGCTCAGAGCATGTGTCACCCCCTCCTGATCACAGTGATGTCCTAAAACAAGGATACAAATTTACATAAGAAGATACACTTCTGGGTGTCCTCTATTCTTATCCACCAAACAGCAACAACAGCAAGGCATTTTGTGCCACTTTCTTACCAATTGATTTCCTCGTCATGGTTTCATTGCATTTTCAAAATTAGGCTGAGAGGCAGATAAAGCAAGTCATGTTTGCATCCCAACTCTCAGGATCACAGCCCTGCGCCGTTCCCAAGGAGCTACACTCCAGGGGTACCATTCATGTGGAATACAATGTGAGTGGTGCCCTCAGGGTCTTGCAGAGTAGCAATGCTGTCAGAAACCGAAGCCCAGGGAGGTAAAATTAATTGCCCAAGGTCATACAACTGAGTAAAAGACTCTAACCTCAAAGCCGAGTAGTCTTTATGTGAATCCCATGAATCTTGGTGGGGAATCCCATGAGGCCCCTGGAGGAGAAAGTCCTCATCATGCCATAATGCCATCCGGCACACTGTAACTCCATCTTGTTCCGCATGTGCCACACCCAGGACAAGGAAGGAAGGTGCCTGCGCATCCAGGCAAATCAGGTTATGGAGAGAATTGTCTATTCCTCCTCTCTGTAAGACTGGCTTACATGAGATTTTCAATAACCAGCACCCCTAAAAACTCCACTTTATCTCCCACTTGTGTTGTCATCTAAGCACAATCTGTAGTCTGTGCCAAAAGGCACATTCAAGTATTAAAGGAAAAAATCAGGTTGAGAAAAGTGACAGAAATATTTATTAAAGTACTACAATTGGACTCTATGCAAAATGAGAGCGCCTTCCTCATATTCACTAATCTCCAAACAAAATAACCATCAAGAAATATTAAAACACACATTTTATTAGTTTCATTTAATTTCTTAATTGCTCAAAGTCAGTTTACCCATTTATTACTGTGTGAAGTGCTTAGAGGCAAGGCACACATTAAAGGGATTATTTCCATGTAATCCCCCCCTCCCAGAGGGTAGGAGCTGATCACTGTGAATCCCGAATTACTCTGTGTAACAATACCAAATGGAGGAAATAGGGATTGTAAAATGATATAGGCAGCAGTTGGGTAGTACCGCAGGAGAGTGTAATTTAATAGCAAGAGAAAAGTTCCTCATTTTCAGTAAAAGTTATGCGAGCCTTTTTCAAGAATAGCTAGTAACCAAACTGAATTAGCCCCCTATTTTTCTGGCTATATCTGTGTTAATTGATAGGTGTTAAAGATCTGTAGCCTGTGAAGATGTTAATCAGATGGAGTCTGGAAGTAGTTGTGATCATTTTACTAGGACCTGGAGTTCCGGGGATAGTCATTGCTCTAAGTATTACACTCTCGGTGATAGTTTGCCCACTGCCAGTCATCCTTCTTGGCAGTAAAGAGTGCAGGCACTCAGGTGGAATTTGGAGGGAAATGTGGTAGGAAGGAGTTCTAGGTAAATATCCACCAAGAAGCTTGTGACAGTTGAAGTTCTGGCAGCTTCCATGGTATGTCATAGCTGGCCTGAGACCATTATGCTCCAGGGGACCGGGAAATCCATTAGTGACCTGGGAAAAAGCTTTTGCTTGTCCTATTACTGACTCATCTCTCCCTGTTATATGTTAGGAGCATTACTGCTACTCTTTGGAGATAAAAGTTAGAGCATTAGAGGCATACAGAGGTAAGGCCAATCCTTACCAGCAACTTCTGCCCCCTCCGTCAGCGCACGACCCTGACATGGGCATGCCTGGCGGCCATGACATAAACAAGACCTTCATTTCAGGTTGAAACCTTTCCAATATTTGGTATTCATTCACTACCTTTCGAGTCAGCCTAATTTAAAGAGCACACAAAACAAAACACTTTTTAAAAATCCCTCAAGGAAATGTGTTCCATGTATCTTATTAGATTGAAGGCAAAACAAGCTGATACCAGCAGAAAAAAAAAATGGCTGCTTCAGACCCCAGCTGACCTCTTTTGTATGGAAAATCCTCCATATGATTACAGAGCTAATGAGCAATATTTAATGAAAACATTATGCCTTTGCATATATTCGTAAGCAGCTCTTGTTACATTTAAATCTACTTAGAAATAAGAAGATGTGTATAAAAACACATCTTGGACATCTGTGTTTTTTAAGGAAAATACTTGTTTGCTCTCTCTGGCTATTTCTATACAAAGCCCAAACTATTCAATAAGAAAACTGTAGAATTCAGCCAATCATCTGGTTGACACCAAACATGCAAGTATTTGATGATGCGTGGAAAAATAGCTGAACCCAAAGGTAGGCTCATCCACATTTCACAGAAGGTTTCAGCTTTATGCAAATAACAGTGCATGAGGAAAAAAACGGGGCTAAACAATTACTAAGTAAATGCATGTGAGAAAAAAAATCTTTCACTTTCAACTTCAAGACTCCTTAAGTATTTGAAGATGAGGACTTAGAACCAGGAATGTTTCTGGGGCCTGAATGTGTCTTCTTTTCTGCTCAGAATCTGAATCACTGTGGTGCTGAATTTGAAAATGGAAAAACTTGACACCTTTCTCTTCCACTCTTTCTTCCCCCTCTAGGTGGAGCTGACAGGCAGCAGCGTCTTTGACTATGTACACCCGGGAGACCACGTGGAGATGGCAGAGCAGCTGGGCATGAAGCTCCCGCCCGGGCGGGGTCTCCTCTCCCAGGGCACCGCTGAGGACGGAGCCAGCTCAGCATCTTCCTCCTCTCAGTCGGAGACCCCCGAGCCAGGTGGGAATTGCAAACCCAACGTGTGGGTTGGTGGGCAGGACCTTTGCCAAATGAGTGTGCTCAAGGTACCCATGTGAAGAGACTATAAATAGGTCTAAGGGTATTTAACAATTCCATGCAGCTTTCAGTCCCATGCAGTAATTAAATAAGGAAGAGATTTGAAAATAAGGAGACATTTTAATAAGTATAATCCAGAGATCTAATTTCAGTTGAACAATGCATATGGAAGGTACTAGTTCCTTTGGTTTCTCTTTCAAATTACTGGGGGGAAAGCTTTCGATTTGAAACACCCTCCTCATTTTATTGTTACCATGGCTAAATGTAATGCATTTATTTATTATTCAGCAAAATCTTTGGCAGAGGCATTTTGAATATTAGCTTGTGGAGAATTAAAAGTATTAGATACTTGTAGAAATCTTGGTTTCTCTATTTCTTTTTTTTTTTCCCTTAAGCATCAGAAGGTACTTGAAAGATGTGAACAGATAAATTAAGGCTAAAAGAAAACAGAAATGGCTACATTTTAAACTGCCTTTCTACCCTCAGTATTTAATTAGATCAATTGTATAGAGGAATGAACAGAGGTGACATTCCTCATTGGGATTCCTTCCAGGACTCTTATAGACTTTGCATTCAGAATGTTCCCATTTTCATTGTGTTGTACTGATGATAATTTAAGTATTAGGGGAAAATCCATTTATAAATTAAACAAAATGACTTGATATCCATCAGTCCCCTAGTTCATCAAGCTGTTCAAACACGGGGAAGATTGGCTGGTCGGCCTGGGTCTTCCGAGAGCGCTGGTAATTAGATCTGCGAAGGATTTATTCTTTGCTGATTGGGGCTTTAAATTAATTGAAGTTCCACATTTGTGGTTTTGTCCTTTTTGTACTTTTTTAGAGGAGATATTTCATATTCTTGTGTGGTGGAGTGCTTGGCCAAGCAGCAGTGGTTTAAATGTTAATTTTTCTCATGAGAAGTTTAAGATTTTTAATGAATCAAGGCCTGATTTGAAGTGCAAAGTTTTATTTGCTTACTTGGGAAATTATTTTTGTACTCTTCAAAGATGCTTGTACTTTACTTGATCTGTTGTTTTAAAACAGATTCACAATACAAAAGCATTTTATTAGAGAGAAGACTAGAAAAACCTATCTGAAGATTAATATTAAAATAATTCAACATACTTCCAAGGAAATAATTTGGCCTGCCTAGAAATAATCACATTATTTTTGTTCACACAGAAGGGAAAAACCTATTTAAGTCTTGGAAGTATTTTTTTTTTTTTTTTTTTTGAGTGGAAGTCTCACTCTGTCACCCAGACTGGAGTGCAGTGGCCGCTTCCGGCCACCGCAGCCTCGACCTGCTGGGCTCTGGCGATCCTTCCGCCTCAGCCTTCCAGGTAGCTGGAATTACAGGCATGCGCTACCACGCCCGGCTGATTTTTTGATTTATTATAGAGATGAGGTCTCGCTGCCCAGGCGGGTCTCGAACCCGCGGGCTCAGGCAATCCACTCACCTCAGCCTCCCAAAGGCGCGGGATTACAGGCTGAGCCACCGAGCCCGGCCTTGGAAGTATTTTAATGCCATCTAGAACCAATCCATATTTCCTCCTTGAAGTTAACTATGGTTCTTGTACATTCATCATTCTGTAGCATTGGTGATCATCCTTCTCCAATGGGCCCCACACGAGAAGAGAGAATATTTAAGACTATTCTTTACCCTTTAAAAAGGAAAATAATTTTGTTCAGGGGAGATGTCATATTCTTACACCATAGCTCACTGACTTTACTGACTAGATATGTCAGTGAGATAATTGGAACTGTTTTTAGTCAATAGGATGTTCATATCTGGGCATATTTGAGAAGCAGCACGTGAAAATAGTTTTCTACTTTTTTATCCTGAAGTTGGATTGGAGAAACTCAATTCCTCATGACTCAAATATGCAATGTGAAAGAATTTAAGTTTATATAAGCCTTTGTGTGAAGTAAGGTCTTGGAAAAGTGAATTTTGTTTCCTTGATCACAAACTTGCAAGTTTAAAGGAGCTTCACGTTCCTTTAATCCAGCCTCCAACATATGCAGCCAACCCTCTTCAGCAAAACCAACAGGTAATCTTTCCAATCTTCACTAGATCCTGCCCCTGACAGGCAGCTCATGAACTTGCAAGGCTGCCCTCTCCATTGTTGAGCCCTTCTAATAGACAGTCATTCCTGATATGGAGCCAAAGTCTACTTTGCTGCACCTTCCCCCTGCTGATCCAAGGTCTGCCCTCTGGGACTACATTTCAGATTTACCTCTTCTTTCCTATCATAGCTTCTCAAATATGTGAAGTCGCATACATCAAATCCTTCCTTCCTGCCACCATTCTTCTCCTTTAAGTCAAATAGCACTGATTTAACAACCATTATTCAATGGACTATTCCTAAGAGTCTCACCACCCTAGTCATCTACCCTGGCTGTGCTTCAGTTTGTTGGTGACCCTCTAAAATTATAGTTCAGAGAATTGAGCACAGCAGACCCTCTAGATGCACAAAACAGAGGGACTGTTACTTTTCTCAGTATGGGCTATTATACTTCTGTTAATGCAGCCTAAGGTTCAGTTGGGTCTTCTCAGAAGCCAGAACACCCTGTCAATTCATATTGAGCTTGGTGTCTCCCAAAAGTCATATTGAGGGTGAGACTTTGGAAGAAAAAAAAAATCCACAGCCTGTAAACCAGTTCTGCTATGGTATCCTAGGCTAGAGTCAGGATAAAACAGCAAACCCAAATCTTTTAATATAAAAACGTCGATAAACCCCATGCCTTCTATGAAGTCCTAGCATGCATAAAACAACTCTAGGTAGTTCTAGATGGAACTCAGTTCTCATCTATTATCAATTCTGGATAATAGGAAAATATGTATCTCCTTCAACTGTTTCCATTCTTCTCCACCTTAAAGTTACTCTACTGTTTAACAATGAAGTGTGATCGAAAGACACTCTGAATTTACTTGGGTTTCCTTCCCTTGCCTTCACCAGCCTTCCTTTAGCCATTCTAACCAGAAAGATTGAAATCTCTGCTTTGCACATCACTTAACCACTTGGGCTCGTTAGCTACACTCACAGAAGAGGCTTTGTTGGTGACTGTGGCTCTCACCAGTAGAGAACACTAAGCCACCTTAGCCTTAAAAGTCTGTTGTGTTGGTTATTTTCAGTCTTTGGTTTTAAAAAGCAATTAGATTGCTCAAATACTGAAAAGCAGCATAGGGTGCTACCTTGAACAAAATATCTTCACTAATGCAGATGATCGCTCCAAGGGAATTATTTTAAAAGTTCATGTCAGGCACTACATCCCAAAGCTGCTTATGTTTCTTAAAAGCTGAAAGAATTTTTAACAAGATTTCCTAATTCTTAATAACATGAAGGAACATTTTGAAGACTGTTGTTCATTGCATTATAATCTCTTAAACTCTGATAAAACACAGATTCTTTTTTTAAATAGGGTGTAATTTAGTTGGAAAAGGGATATCAATATATGGTTATTATGAAAATAAAAGGGACTAGTAGGTATGGAATTTTTCAGAAGCCCTGATGTGTTCAGTGTAGCATTACTAAATGACTGAAATCTAAATAACATTTGGCATTATAATAAAAAGAAATAAGTGACTAAACCAGTCTAAGAGGCAATGATACTGTGCCTCAATAGGAATTCTATTTCTTTGAACTGCCAGCCCTAAGATTGTCTTGTCTTGATTCAGGCTGAAGATAATGGGGGAGAGAAAAAGATCTGTTGACTGGGCAGCAAACCCAAATAAACATTTTATATGTTATGCACACATATTAATAGTTTAGTAAACAAATTTTCTCTTAGAGAAATCTTAAGTCAGGCATAAGAAAAATAAATGGGTGAGCCTTGTTTAAAAGTTATAAAGTTCTAGGGGTTGACTTGAACATTTTGGAAGAGACTGCTCTTTGCTGTCCTGCGGGCTCTGAAACACAGGGAGCACAGGCCCTCTGAAAATGCCATTTGGATGTTTCATTTTCTTCCCATAGATCTGCCTGTGCCTTTTATTACTCTTAATGATTCTGCAGTCTTGGGATTATGAGTGCCATCCTCATCTTTTTCATAATTTTCAATTCCATTTCTTTTAAATGCTTAGTAAACAGAAAAGCAGCACTTTCAAGAAATCCTGGAAGAATTTTAAAAATCATGCTATTTTAAAGGCAAAGTGTAATATTTTTTAAGTTAGATCATAAAATTGTGTTTTTACTCCTCCTTCTTCATAAAACAGCTTTATTTTTTCCAATTATAAAATTAATTCATGCCCATTATAAAAAGTTCAGACAATACAGAAAACAAGGAATAAAGACCAACCAACATTCCACCACCTAGAAATAACCACCATTCATATATGGGCACGACATATCCTCCTAGATTTTGTTTCTGTTCCTCTATATATAGATATGTAGATTTGTAGTGGGTTTGTTTTTTAGGGTGTGTGTGTGAATTTTGTACTAAAATAATACCATATATGCTTCTGGTAACCAGCTTTTTTATTTAACTCATAGGCATCCTTGCCTCTCATATTTCTGTCTTTAAGATAAATTTCCCAGTTGGGCTCGGTGGCTCAGCCTGTAATCCCGCGCTTTGGGAGGCTGAGGTGAGTGGATTGCCTGAGCCCTTGGGTTCGAGACCCGCCAGGGCAACTTGGTGACACCTCATCTTTACAAGAAATCAAAAATTAGCCGGACGTGGTAGCGCGTACTGTAGTTCCAGCTACTTGGAAGGCTGAGACAGAAGGGTCACTGGAGCCCAGCAGGTCGAGGCTGCAGTGGCCAGGAGCAGCCACTGCACTCCCATCTGGGTGACAGAGTGAGACTCCAACTCAAAAAAAAAAAAAAAAAGATAAATTTCCCTTTCTGTCTCCAATGGTAACAGTCAACTTCTATTGTAGGTAGGACCATTGTCAGAAAGAACATGCCTGGGTCCTGCTCTGGAAGGAGTTCAGCCAGGATAAGAGTTCTT